CCCCAAAACCCCAAAACCCCGAGTGAAAAGAAATCTATACTTTAAGAAATAATATTATGCATATAAAAAAATAAAATCATAACTAATTAATTTTCTTGTTTCAATTATTTTATCCCTTTAATTGATAGTTTAATAATGGCCTATTAAAATATCAATGTTCAGTATCATCCATTTTTTTCCTGATCAACTCCTTTTAATCACTATCCAAAGCAGTTGATTGAGATCTTGATTTTAATTATTTTTGAGGAGAATCAAAAGTAGTATTGATTGATTTTTACTTCAAAAGCAATTCGAAATTATTCTCAGAATATGTCTTAATTCCTAAAGACCTTTTGCTAAATAAGGTATTTGTAGTTTTAAACTCTGTGGCATGAGTCTATCTCTGAGTATCATCCTCAAATTAAATGACTTAAACATCTCGATCCCAGTGTAAGGATTCTTCTTAGATAGTTTCAAGTTAATTACCGTTGGGCAAGGCCCTTGGAGTATCAAATCCATCATAAGGTTCGAAAGAAATTCTATTGAATTTAAACATTTTAGTTACTTAAAGCATTTAATTTCTAACTCCTCTTTTGATTCTGATTCTCATTCTAATATAAGCGATATATCTTATCAATTACTTTATTGTTTCTTTAAGGATAACCAAGAAATTTGTAAAAAAATTTAGTAAAACTATAGATATCAACATCCAGCCAGCATAAATCTTAGCCTCTTCATCATCTACTGACTAGTTAAACAAAAAAGTAATGTCAATAGTTATCAGCACTGTTGCTTCATTAAATATCTCAACTAAATTTTGAAAATCAGAGTCAAAGGGTCTTATCATAATAAGATAGGTTATTTAGAGCATACTCAAGAAAAGGCTTATGAATATTTGAAATGTTGGGTACTCTACTAAAGTAAATACAATAATCAATATCACCATTCTTCTTAAAATAAATGCTAAGTTATAGCTAAGAGCAAATGCATTTTCGTGCTTTAATTAGTCGAATAGGTTTATAAATAGAGATATACTTTTGTCTTATTTTCTTCTCAGTCTTAGAAAAATAGAAAATACAATAGGGGCTATTATCGATACTATTAATACTAAAAATGCTCCAGCTACACTTGCATCATTATAATTTGAATCATCTTAAACATAAAGATATATCTATAGTGCATAGCATATTCCAA